GCTTTTTTCGGTGGGTTCAGTAGCTTGTCCCTGTCCAACGGATGCATTTCCGATGCTGAAACTGCAAATGCAGGGCATTTCAGATCGACGCCACTTGATTTATTTGCCGTCGCCGTTGTCGAATATAGTTATGCTATCCAACCGGCTTAATTTTTATGTGTGTTTGTCACAGGCTGCAAAGAATCTTGACAACTATGCAAAAAAGAAAGAAAGGAAAAAAGCTTGTCCCTGTCCAACTAAACACTACGCCTTTTTTTCATGTATATACACATATATACTTAATTGATGCATTTCCGATGCTGAAACTGCAATTGCAAGGCACTGTTCTGTCCCGCATTTCAGATCGATGCCACTTGATTTATGTGCTGCGGTTGCCGATTTCGAGCCACTTAATTCACGGGTTGCGGTTGGTTGCTGTTGCCGTTGTCGAATATAGTTATGCTATCCGACCGGCCTAATTTTTTGTGTCACAGGCTGCAAAGAATCTTGTAGCTGCGGCCGCGGCACCTTCAGCCCCTGCTTTCTGGGCATCTGCTGCAAATACACCTTCTGGAGCAGGTATGTTATGTGGCTGCTATTCTTCTCTCTCCACCACACACTTGAACTACAAGGCTTGGTTGTTATACTTGATGTGGCAACTGCAAACTAGTGCTAGCCTGACTTAATTGTGCCCAATAACCGGTTTTCAGTTAGGTAGATGACAGTTATTATTACTCTGTATTCCACCGCGCCATTTTGGTTGACTGTTGCTACTGAGGAAGTAAGTTTCTGCTTATTGCTTAACTGATGCAGGTGGCGTGCTTAGGAATCTACATCAGAGGTACTGCTCAAGCTTTGTTGGTCAGAGGGCACGGGGCGTGCACTCTGGCGCTGCCGCTTTTCTTTCTAACGAGATCCATAGGAGAGCCCCAGAAAGAGTTATACATAACTTCAAAACGCTAAATCGAGGTAGCCGCCTTTTCTTTCGCCACGCTTGCTAGTTAGGAGTAGTATCTGCGCTTTTACCCGCAAACGACATGCAATTTGGCTTGACAACTTCTGTGCGCGCGGATGGATTCTATTCTCTATGCAGGAATTTCAAGTGCGGCAAGGGAGGAAGGACGTGTTCTTGGTACTGCTAGTGCACCCCAGTACACAGTAGAGAAGGACCTACTTAAAAAGCAGCTTCTGCGTACCATCTCTGCCCTTACAGTTACTGGCTTTGCCATCTATGGCGTTAAGGTTATGCTTGATAGTGCCATAGACACCAAAGTTAGCAAATTCGATGGTTTGAAAGAAGTATCAGCCACAGATTTAAGCACAAGGTTCAGTGATGTAAAGGGGGTTGATGAAGCCAAAGCTGAGCTCGAAGACATAGTTCACTACCTACGAGATCCCGATGTGAGTTTGGCATTGCCATCAACCTGCGTGCAGGTGTTCTAATTCAACAACTCTTTCTTGATACTGAGTTGTTAACCTAGTTTTACATGCATTGCAGAGTTTCAAACGCCTTGGTGGCAAGCTTCCAAAGGGTGTTTTGCTTGTGGGCCAACCTGGCACAGGGAAGACAATGCTAGCAAGGTCGGTAGCTGGGGAAGCCGGCGTCCCTTTCTTCTCGTGCAGTGGCAGTGATTTCGAAGAGATGTATGTTGGTGTTGGTGCTAGGAGAGTGAGGGAGCTCTTCAGTGCAGCAAAGAAGCGATCTCCTTGCATAGTATTTATCGATGAAATTGATGCAATTGGTGGGCGCAGAGACACTGAAGGTGTACCGTCACAGAGGCCGGCTCTGAACCAGCTGCTTGTTGAGATGGATGGCTTCAAGCAGAATGACGGGATTATTGTGATCGCAGCAACGACCTTGCCGCAGTCACTAGATAGTGCTCTTGTCAGGCCTGGACGTTTTGACTGTCAAGTTCATGTTTCGGTTCCAGATGTTGAGGGCCGCCGACAGATCCTCGAGGCTTACATGTCAAAGGTACATTTATGAGGCTTACTTAATTTTTGCGGTCTCTGATGCGAGGCTTTGATCTTTTCTCCATGAATTCTTTCATTCAGGTGAGTAAATCCAAGGATGTGGATGCGATGACCATCGCAAGGGGGACGCCTGGGTTCTCAGGTGCAGCCCTTGCAAACCTAGTGAACACTGCCGCTCTTAAGGCTTCCAGGGATGGGGCAAATGCTGTTGGGATGGGTCACCTTGAGTACGCCATGGACAGGATCATCATGGGCAGGGAGCGCAAGTCGATGGTGATATCCGATATGTCAAAGAAGAGGACTGCATACCACGAGGCTGGGCACGCCCTTGTTGCTATCCTCACGGACGGTGCTAACACTGTCCACAAGGCCACCATCGTGCCTATGGGAAATGCTCTCGGCAAGGTGACGCAGCTGCCAGGGGAAGACAGCCACCTCACAAGGAAGCAGATGCTGGCGAGGCTCGACGTCGCCATGGGAGGACGGGTGGCCGATGAGCTTATATTTGGAGAAGCAGGGATCACCACTGGTGCCTCATCTGACCTAGGCAAGGCAACTCGATATGCGAAAGACATGGTCGTCAGGTATGGTATGAGCAAGCGGGTCGGCCTTGTTTCCTATGGCAATGACATCAATGCTGCCCGTGGCAAGGCGATGGCCATGAGCGGGCGGACGATAGGTCTGGTTGATGAGGAGGTGAAAGCATTATTGGACAACGCTTACAGGAACGCGAAAAAGATTCTCACGGAGCACAACAAGGAGTTCCATGCGCTAGCAAATGCCCTCCTGGAGCATGAAACTCTCACTGGTGACCAGATCAGGAAACTAGTTTTGACAGGACGACAAGGAGTTGGTCGTAGCAGCAGCCAGCAAAATCAGGGAACGCCTTCTCTCACTGGTGACCAGATCAAGAAACGAGTTTCGACAGGACGACAAGGAGATGGTCGTAGCAACAGCCAGCAAAATCAGGGAACACCTTCTCTCACTGGTGACCAGATCAAGAAACGAGTTTCGACAGGACGACAAGGAGATGATCGTAGCAGCAGCCAGCAAAATCAGGTAACACCACCTCTTGCCGGTGACGAGATCACAAAACTAGTATCACCAGACCAACAAGTAGATGGTGGTAACAATAGCGATCAGGGAACATCTTCTCTCTCTGGGGACGAGAGCACCAAATCAATGTCAACAGAAGAACAAGGAGATGGTCCTAACAGCAGCCAGCATAATCAGGGAGCACCGTCTATCACTGGTGAGGAGGCCACAAAGCTAGTTTTGACAGAACAACAAGCAGATAGTTATAGCGGTAGCCAGCAGGATCAGGGAACACCTTCTGTCACCCGCAACGAGAGCGCCAACCAGTGAGGAGATCAAGAAACGGGTGCTCGCGGTGAGAGCGGCGAACCAATGACGAGATCAAGAAACGGGTGTTGACGCAGCAACAAGTAGATGATGCTAACAATGGGTCAGCAGGATGAGGGAACACCTTCTTCGCCCTAGCCGCCAAGACGCTTACAGGAAGGAGTATTCCTTTTGCTGATACTTTCGTTGCATGCAGACTGAATGCAGAGAGCGATGTGTAGGGTCTGGAGTTTTCCCTGACTTGTGTTTCTGAAGGTCGAAGAGAATCCGACGTGTTTTGTACTTTTGCATGATGTGTTGCGAACCAGTAAAACCTCCTGTTATGGGTCTCAAGCATGAATGTACCCCAAGATTTCTATTTCTATTGGAACTGGACATGTGTAAATGCAATGCAATTTCATACGTTTTCACCAGCTGCAAAACAATGCAATTTCATACGTTTTCACCAGCTGCAAAACATCATAAAAATACCATTAGGCGCTTCCGTAAACGCAAAATCCTCTGTTTTCTTTTTTAATTGGTTGCCTTTTTTATCCTAAAAATGTCTATCAGTAAGTCAGTTCCCACGAAATCAGCAATCCTATGAGTGAATATGCCCAGAGACAAGGCAGATTGTAGAGCATATTCAGGAACTTGGTACCATCCAAAACCAGCAGAGTGTGTACTAAGAGCATCTCCAACAGTCGCGCAACGCGCCGCGCGTTAAAAGTCGCGATACAGCGCCGGGTTAGCCAGCTTTTGCGCGCACCGGTGCGCTGGCTCCAGCGGCCGCCGCAAATTAAAGCGCGCCCACGCCGCTCCAGCAGACGCGCTATATTTCAGTTTTTTCTACTACATATTTGGTTTCGTAGATAGTTCTCCTACTACATATTTGATTTCGTAGATAGTTCTCCTACTACTACTCGTCCGACTCGGACTCTGTCTCAGTGATGTCCTCCTCCGACGTCGGAGCGTATGCGTCAAGGAACCGCTCGTCGTCGGAGTTCCAGGAGGACGCATCTCCTAGCGCTTGGTTGTATTTAGCGACCGCCTTCCGCGTTCGCTTGTCCTCGCGATAGTCGGCTCGCTCCTCTCTCCTCTTCGCCCTCCTTGCCCTCCTCTGGGCGAAGAACTGTTCCTCATTGGTGTCTTCCAGGAAGCGATGACTCCACAGCGCCATGCTTGCTCGTCCATCTCGGCCAGCCTGAGACGATGCTCCCGCCTCTGATGCTTGCGATGATCCTCGTCAGTGAGAAGCCGTGGGAAAGGCGTCAACTCCTGTGCGCGCTCCTGCGTCGCCACGTCGGCGAAGTTCATGTCCTGATGGGACCGCAGGAGGCGCCACGCCGCAGCGTCGTACGCGCGGGCGCCCTCCTGGGCGGTGTCGAAAGTTCTGAGACGGAGCCGCATGCCGCCGCCCGACCGAATCTCGGCGGAGTAGGTGCCGGACGCACGCACGCGGACGCCGCGGTAACCCGTACCTCCCCGGCGCCGAGGCGGCATCGTGGCGCGGTGGTGGCGTGTCGGCGGCAGAGCGCGGCAGGGGGCGATGGAGAGACGAAGAGAGCGGCAAAGGGCGATGGAGAAAGCGGCGGAGGCGCTGCAATTTCCGGCGCGCCAAATGTAGCGCGCGAGCGGCCGCCTTTTCCCGCGCGCGCTAGTTTCGCGCCACCGCTGGAGCGCGCGTAAACGTCCCGCGCGCGCTATAAAGCCAATTTACCACGCACATGCGTCTTTTGGCGCGGCTGTTGGAGATGCTCTAACAAATTGAAGATTGGGCGTGTCGGTACCACGGACAATGTTATCTGCAGCTTCAGCTTTATCTGATATACTGATCTCTAAGACGACTGATCGTGTCGTATACACACATGTATCTAAGGGCCTGTTCGGAATCCACCCGCTCCCTGAAATTTCGGAATCTATGGAGTACCTACATGTGCGCTCCACGATTTTAACTAAGGCCGCGTTCGGATCCCTCTGCTCCGCGGTTCCGCGCCGGAGCGGAGCGGCAATCCAGGTATAATTTTCAGAGTTGACTAAAGGCCGCTCCGCGCGCTCTCCGCGGAGGACTGCCGAACAGGCGCTAAAACTCCGCCCGCTCCGAGAGCGGCCTCGTGGAGCGGCGGGTCTCCGAACAGGCCTAAAGCTCTTGATTCTCGCTAACAAATCCACCCGATTTCGTTGATTTTTTTATTGTCTTGGATCACATATATAATAAGCAGGACAAGGTATGCAACACAATTTACATTGAATTCTAGTGATGTGATACAGTTGGTATAGCATAACATCTTTAAATCAAGCGAAAATTCAGAAACAAATATGTACCGCACACAGCATGAGTACTAGTAGGAGATTAGCCTACGAGGTTTAATTACAAGGTTCTCAAGCATACACGGCGCTCAACAATGGCGCGAGTAGTGAATCTGATGACTTGTCGGCGGTGCGCAGGCCGGTCGCCATCTTCTCCACCATGGTTGTTATCTTCTTCGTCGTCGTCTCTTCTCGCTGATGTTGCTGCTTGGTGTCGAGAAACGTTACCGGACCTGGCCGGACCTTGTCGGCGTTCAACGAGTGGCACTTTGGTAGGACTAGCCCCAGGTTGAGATTAAGGTTAATAAGATTACTACCATCGAAGTCGAAGTCGAAGAAGCTTCTTTTGAGCCGGCGGCACCACTCGGCCCTGGCGGCGGCGCGCTGCAGCCTCTGGTGCTCCTTCTCGTCGAAGAAGGTGAGGGTGATCCTCACGGCGAAGTAGTCGTCGCGGACGCATCCCGCCGCCTCCAGCGCGCTCCGGTCGACCATCAGGTGCTTGGACCAGGCGTGGGCGCCGAGCACCTGCTCCGCGCGGAAGACGGCGCGCTCCAGGGTCGCGCCGTCGAGGATCTCGATGGAGATGGTGGTGCTGGGCGCGTTGCGGTTGTAGGTCACGGTGGAGACGTGGACGGCGACGGCGCCCGGCACGCCTTGACGTGCCAGAGGTGGCGGTTGAAGTAGAGGGTTTGGAGCTTGGTGGACGGCGTGCCCGGCGGCATCTGACCCAGCTTCGCGTAGCCCCGGACCGCCAGGAGGCGCGTCAGGGTCTTGGTCGCCGCCGCCGGCGACGAGGAGCGGCTGGCCATCGTGTCTGTTGTACGTACTTTCCTTATCTGCAATCAGTCATATATATAGCTAGCTGCATCGTACTAAGTTGGGTTGGTAACCAACTCGAGATATGTAGATTAATGTTTTAAATAGACTATGGCATATAGCGGCAACCCTTAAAAACAACTATAGCTGGGCTATAGCGGGCGATAGCGAGGCTATAGCGATAAATTGTACATGAAATTATTTAGTGGCAACATGCTCAAATAACTATAGCGGGGCTATAGCCGGCTATTTAAAACTATGACGTAGATACTGTTTATAGTCGTCAGGCATATTGTCTCCTCCTCGAAGCGGCGCTCGGCTCGCCTCAGGACGCCCCAGGGACTCAGCTCCAGGGCCCCTCCTCTTCGTCTTCGCTGCCTGTCTCGTCCGCCGCCGCCGATATTGCCCCCCAAATGTTGCCGCGTTCCTCTCCGTCGAATAGGCAAAAGGAGGCGGCGTGCATCCACGGCGCGAAGTCCCACAACGCCGAAGCGAGGGCGTGGGCGAACTTCCGTCGCCTCGGGCGGATACTCAATCCGGCCCATCCAACGGCTCCAGGTGGCCGACACCGCGTGGTGGGAGGCGAGGCAGGTAGCCGCCGCGCGAAGATGCAGTTGTAGCCGCGCGCCTGCCGGAGCTCCGGAAGGAGTACCACCTCCAGCAGACCCTCACCGGGACGCTGATCTACCGCACACTTCACGGCAACGAGCCCCCGCCACGTGAGGACGGCTCCAGTGACAAGGGCACCGAGCTTGTATGAACTATGTTTATGTGGAACTCTGGTGATGTTTATGGCGCGAACTACTAGTTTTAAAATCAAGTTGAATTATGGTGATGTATGGGCGAACTTCCGTCGCCTCAGGTAGAAGTTCGATCCGGCCCTCCAGCGGCTTCAGGCCCTTCAGCGGCTTCATTGGAGATGCAGTAGCGGCCGCGCGCCTGCCGTAGCTCCGGGAGGAGTACCACCTCCACCTGACCCTCTCCGGGACGCTGATCTACCACACGCTTCACAACAACGAGCCCCCACCATGCGAGGACCGTTTTGGCGACGAGGGCAATGACGGCGACTCCGGCTCCGGTGCCGACACGTAGAACCAAGTATGAATTAGAAGTACAACCCCGCGTAGTATGAACTAGTTTAATTTCCGTTTGAACTATGCTTAATTAAGCTTGTATGAACTATGTTTATGCGGAACTCCGGTGAGCTTATGGTGCGAACTACTATAGTTTTAAAATCAAGTTGAATTCCGGTAATGTATGCAGGATCTGTACTGTCTCCGCATTTGTCGTTTCGTAAATTTCTTTTACAGGAGCTCTAGATGAATTTTACAGGCCGGTCGGTTGCGAAATCTCCTAGAGATGCTCTTAAAGGCAGCAAACTACTACACCGTCGATGCTATAACTGTGCGCCTATTACACTAATGCAGATGTAGCCAAAAAAGATGGGGGCTCACCACGCGGCTTTCCTCTCACGACCTTCTCTCATGGAGGGATCACCTATGTGACTCTCAGCCTTCTCTCTTATACAAATAATCATTTCTCTCTCCAATTTGTTTTTTAATTCAAAATTCTAAAAGTTTGAAATTTTTGGAAGTTGAAATTTTCCAAATGTTTGAATATTCAAAAGTTTTAAATGTATATACTCTAGATGTTTCTATTTGCATCTAACTAATCATAAACTAGAAGCCATTGTCCAGTTATATTATATACATTAGAACTGTCTTACCAGCGCATTTAAGGATAAACACACACATATATACAATATATTTAGGGAAGTGTCACAAAATTAATCTCACAAGACATGCCATTTAGTCTTTTATTATTTTCTCGTGTTTAAAGTTTTTTGTTAAAATTTTAAGGTAAACACACTGAAAAAGAAACTAATGTGAAATTTTAAC